ATCCGGCATGATAAAAAAGAAAATCAAGACCCTTCATTGCTGAAAAATCCGTACTCAAAAGAAATAGATTGAAGACAAAACATTACTAATAATAAAGCTAGTGCACAAATTTAATAATTATTTTTTTTTTTCTTTTTTTAAGGTACCCTCCACCCTTCGTCTTTTTACACATTTATCACGACCTACCTGCCCTTGATTTTCACCTACGATATCTGTCCCTATTATAATCAATAAAACGAAATAAAAACAGAATCATGATGATGGATAATGGAACACATCATTCAGTTGTTCAATTAAATACAACAAATTCACAGAATATGACTACCATTCAACAACAACATAATGAAAGTAGAGTATCAAGTGAACCTGATCATTTTCTTACAATTCGATTACTTATGCAAGGCAAAGTAAGTGATCTTCTTTTGTTTGAATTTTTTTTTCATAATAATTCATCATTTCCTTATTCATGAAATTTAGGAAGTCGGTAGCATCATTGGAAAACGTGGTGATAACATAAAAGCCATTCGAGAAGAAGTATATAAATTAATGTAAAAATAATTAAACCTATTATTTATATTTTAGAGTGGCGCTCGTATTAATATTAGTGATGGAACAACACCAGAACGTATTGTTACAATGGTTGGTACTATAGAAACATTAGCAAAAGCCTTTGGAATGATTTGTCAAAAATTTGAAGATGTAGGATTTATTTATTAAATATATTTATTGAAATTATTGATTTCATCATAGGATTTAAAACAAACATGTACAACTATTCCTCCAATTACATTACGTCTTGTTGTACCAGCAAGTCAATGTGGTTCAATTATTGGTAAAGGTGGTGCAAAAATAAAAGAAATTCGAGAGGTTTGTTTTTATTTTTATTTTTATTTTTCTATACAAAAGATTTTATTTTTAATTTTTTTTCTTATTCATTTATAGACAACAGGAGCATCTGTACAAGTTGCTTCCGAAATGTTGCCATCATCAACAGAACGCGCTGTAACTATATCAGGAAAACTTGAGTCGATTGAATCATGTTTCCGACAAATATGTCATATTATGCTTGAAGTATAAAAAAATGATTTATTTAATATATGTATCATTAATATAAATAATTTAGCAGTCGCCACCCAAAGGTGAAACAATCCCATATCGACCTAAAATGATGATATCACCCATGCATGCACCTATCATTTTTGCTAATGGACAAGCTTATCAAGTCCAAGGTCAATTTGCGATTCCCTTGCCACCAAATGAAGTAAGATAAATCTTATTAAATACAAAAACATAATATCGTTTGTTTTAATTTATTCTAGTTAAATGCATTCGGTCCATTGGCTCCTCTTGCACCGGGTGTGCCTGTACCAGCTGGTAAGACGATTGATTTGATTCTTTTCTCTAATGATTTTTTTTCTTACAATCGATGTTGAAAAAAGAAAGAATGATATTCTATTCTCTTACTAATGATAAGTTAATGGTTGAAAAGAAGAAAAAAAAAGAAAAGAAATTTGTTCTAACGGAACAAATGGAATATAGTTGAAAAGAAATAAAAAATTGTCTTATTGTTATTTAGCAGCATCCTTAATACCAAATGGTCTTCCACCAAATCGTGCTACTTTACAGACACAACGGGAGATAACTATTGCTAATGATCTCATTGGTTGTATTATTGGTCGAGGTGGACAAAAGATTTCTGAGATCAGGTGGAATTCATTTTCTTATTTGTTTTTGTTTTTATTAACATCATCTGTTAATACTTATTGTAGACAAGCATCTGGAGCTAACATCAAAATAGCCGATTTAGATGAAGGTTCACAAGATAGACATGTTACTATTTCTGGTACACCTGAACAAATACAATTGGCTGAATTTTTAATTCATTCAAGGTAAATAAAAGTAAATCTATTGTAAAATTATATTTTATGTGATTTTCTTAAATAGAATTGCTTCTGAAATTGGTGGAATTCTAATTACTCATTAATCTGTGTTTTTAATCTTTTCTTTTTTTTGTCGTCTTTTATTTTTTTTGACAAAGCAAAAACTCATACAAAACTACAAAAAAAAATTTACTAATAATGAACAAGAAAAAATATCTATACGCATACATACATAAAGAAGATCAATCGCAGTATTTTGTCGTTTTTTTTTCTATGCAATCGTCCGGTTCATAGCTACGCATTGTTGCATACCAATTTTCTGTATGTGTGTACGTGTGTGTGTTTTCTAAGAATAAGTTTTTCTCATTGTCAGTCTATCATTTGTATCTGTATATGTATATGTTTTTTTCTTCTGTTTTTTTTTCTCTTCTTCTTAATGTATTTTTATTTATATGCAATGATATATTGTCTGTCTTATCTATGGTATGATGCAACGATATAGATTTATGTATGTAGCTGTACAACAGTGATCGACTAAATTATTATTTTTATTTGTTCTTTTTAACATCCGAATAATTGAAAAACAAAAGAGAATTTTTTTTTCTTCTTATAAGTGTGACAAGCTATTTTTATGTCTCTTCTTTGTTTGTTTTTCAGGTTTTTTTTTTGCATTAATAGCTGACTTAAGCAGAGTGTATTTGTGCGGAAGATTTTTCGAAATTTTATTTTGTTGTTATTATATCAAAAAACAAAAAAATCAACCCAAAAAAAGACATAAATTTGATTTTAGAACAAAAAAAATGCTTAAAAATCAAATAGATAAAATAGAGCAACCGATTCTTATATCACTTAATATATTAGATGTATTTCTTGTTCTAAAAAATATAAAAAATAATATATCTAATGACAACCTATCGAATATCAAATAAACTTGGTAAATATCTGTAGATATAATAAATAAAGTATGTAATTTATAGAATATCAAGATTATTATTGATACGATAATCGAAAGAGGATTAATTTAAAGTCTTTGATCTGAGAGATTTTCACATGAAGATAAATGACCAAAGTTATATGCACAATTAACGATTATCTCAATTGATAGTAGGACTTTGGTAATATTTCTTTGATTTGTTTTTTTTTATGACAATATGCTTTTTAGCATTTCCATACATCAAATATGCCGGAAGATTGTTGATATTATCTTTAGGCTTATATCGTTAGTTATGCATTTATCTTTTACACTAAACTTGTTCCTGCAATAGCAGACAATAGGTGTATATTGTGTTCCATTTATTTTCATTATTTTTAATTCAAAGACTTGTTTTCAAAAGAAAACATGATTTTGAGGCTTTTGGTAATGATCTTTAGAGTTGAAAAGTCTAGAAATTATGTCAATCTCAGTCTTTTATGGTTATCAGTGTAAAATCTTTAAGACTAGACATAGCTTTTTCATAAAAATATATTAATTAAAGCTTCAATTTTGTAAAACATTGATGCTCCCTCCTCAAAAAAAAAAAGTATTAAAATTAAGATAAATCTATGGGAAAATAGTCGAAATACTGATCTTGTATCAATGACATGATTTTTTTCGTACTCTGGTTTTTTTTTCCAAAAATTTTTGATGATTTCTGCCATTATCTACTGAAAAAATATGCTGTTTTTAGAAAAAGTAGAAAATCTTTTTTCGTTTTTTCTCTCTCTATAATGCTTTTTTCATCGCGCATTCAAAACTTCTCGAGTGGACTTCATCATAGCCAATAGTTTGTTTTTGTTTTGTTTGAAAGTACATGTCAGGAGACAGGGCATGACAGAGTCTTTGTTTTAGGAATGTACTTTGTTACTATTATATAAAAGAGTACTTTTGAAAATAGATCGCCACTTTTTGAAACATAAAACTTTTCTTTTGCTTAAAAGTAGATATTAAGAAAAGTAAAGATTCTCTCATGCACTGTATTCCGACATACTCGTTCAAACAAAAAAAAATTAAGTATATAGAATGAAGGTTTTCAGATCGAACAAGCACGGTTGTAAACGATCGTATACGGAGAAATACGACCAAATACATGGCTCAGTTTTACGATCGTAAATCTCCGTGTCGTATACGGAGTAATACAGCAATATACGGAGGAAAATACGGTCGTTCGCGTTTTTTGTATATGCAGTCCGTATATGGTGCCCGTTTTACTCCGTAAATGGTCATGCCACAACGTATACAGTCACAACGATATACGATCGTAATACTGAGCCATGTATTACGGTAAAATACGACTGTAAACGATCGTGTCGAGGTCGAATAAGAAGTCCGTAATCGTCAACCTGGGTATATCGCCGTAACCATATACGATCGTATAGAACTGTCTACGAGGACCGTAAACGACAGTTTTTCCCTGTGTATCACCGTATTTCGTCGTCTACGATCGTTTACGACTGTGACTGTTTGACCTGGGTTCTTTCTCTTCGGATATGAACTTTAGAAAAAGGAAGACTAATAGAAGAAAAAACAAACTAAATAAGATTATTTCATTGAATCTTAATAGACACAAGATAGAAATTACCAACTTGTACTTTTGCAAAGAGGAGGTGAGATTATATCAGATCGCATTTTACATAAGTTTTCTACCGAATTTATCAGACTTTTCAATTAAGTTTTTATAAAGAAAAAAATTGTTTTATCTGACTGTTTTCGTATAAATATATAAAAAATGTCGTTTTAATAGTAATAAGATTGATCATGATAAAAAACAAGTGTTGGTTAAAGATTTTCTTCTTGTTTCGGTGTTATACTATCTTCAAATAGTTCATGTTTTGAATAATGATGCATATGTGAATTAATCATATTTACAAGTTCTTCTAGACGAGATAATTCATAAAAGTGCACATAATCACGATGCATATGTGATGTTGATAATAACGTATTTGTCTTTAATTTTTCAAAAATAGATATTTTAAATGGACTCATTTCAGCAGTTAATTCAGCAGAAGCAGCATCTATTTCAATTCATTTATCTGCAGTAGTGCATTCAATTGATGCAATTGTTCGACCTAAATGAAAATTAATTTTCTATATAAATCATAAATAATGAAAATAAATATAACGTTCTATGTTTCAACAAACTTTTATGCTAGTTGCGTAGTTCCATCAACGGACATTGTTCCAAATCGTGCACGAATTCGATTTGCCCGATCAATAAAAATATCAAAAATGAGAGGTCTGATTTTAATTTTATGTTGTTCTCTTAAATGTTGCAAGTAAACTTTTCGTTGACATGCTGAATATCGGCCATAAGCAGTATGATAAAAACTTCTCATATATTCTTCTTCATCAACATTATCACGACATTTTGATGAATGATCCATTAATATTGATCTAAAAATTAATTTTTTTTGTTTCTGATAGATATTTGACCTTAACCCTTTCGCGGCGATGTGACCCACCGTTGTGTCACATTATAAGATACCCCAAAAGCTCATTGACCACAGAAAAAATTGAATATCTCTGTCATGCTTTGCTCAAAAGAATTGATTCTTTCATCACTGATAAAAGAATGTTCATAGTTCTTATTCATCAGAGAAACGTTGATGAAAGTTGTTCTTAATTATTATAGTCGTCACAAATACGAAGATGAAACCTCTCATAAATTATAAAAAAGCAATATTTATATCGCCGCGAAAGGGTTAATTGTTTTCATTAAATTAATTAATAATTTTAGATAAAAATTAATATTTTCTTATTTTCGCAAAGTCTAACTGATAAGCAAAATATGAGGTTGAACGGCATCTGAGAGTTGGATACGTTTCCTCATAAGACATATTACTCGAAATAATTACATCAAAATAAAAGAGATCAAAATGATATTATTTAAAACAATTGACTTTTATTTATTGATGAATTAATTCCAGTCTAAAATGTTTAATTGTCGTATCCAGTTTTATTATTAATTTTCATTAAAATAGATAAACTGCTTTTAATTGTTTGATATAATAGTTAATTATTCATATGGGAAAAATAAAGAGTATTTTTAATCTTTTTTTCAATTGCCGATCAACTTTTGAAAAATTATACATATTCATTTATTTTAATTCTATTTTAATTTAATAATTTGTATATTATGTTAAAAAAAAACAACAAATCATTTTTTTACAGAAGAAACAAGACAAATATATATTTTTTTTAGACAGCATACAAAAGCAAATAAATCAAATCTATAATTGACTAAAAAGTTAAATTGAAATTGCTTCTTATTTAATCTATAAGGATGATTTTCTTCATTTAAATTAAAAAATAATGAAAATTAACATTGAAATTCTATACAAAATTGATGTACATTTTCAGTAAATTAAGCAAATATATAAATGAGGAAAAAAATAAAAAATAAAAACGAACGTTAAATATAATTGCTTGATTATAAAATATAAAGCAAAACAAAAGATTTTACTGAGGAAAAACAAAAAACTACAAGATATATGTCGAGACTATATTTATAGAAATAATATATCTAATATCACTGTTACAATTGCCAAAGATTTTGTTCAATTTACTGCCCTAAAATCAAATTTACAGAAGAATAAAAAATAAAAATATTAAATAAGAAACCAAACTATATTTGACTTTTCATTGCATTCATTTAAATCTAATTGAACAAAATCATTTGGAATAATATTTATTGGAATTATTTCAATATCATCACCAATTTGTTCATCTTCATTTTGTTTATCTTCAATAAATGTTGTTTGTGTTTCCTTTGAATTATAATATTTTTCTTTTTCAATCTCAATTCGTTTATTAACAATCAACTCAGGAATATTTGTTGAATTTTGTTTTTTATTTCAATAAGAATTTGTTCGAGATAATGAACAAAGTTTTCGAATAACATTAATCTATATGAAAGTCATTCAAATAAATAAAACAACAAACAACAACTAATTTGATGAGGTATTCGAATTTCTACCATAACATGATGAGAATGAATTAATTGACGATCAGCACATGATTCACATAAATCATAATCAATACATTTAAGACATTTATAACGAATAGCAATTATTGAAGATCAATTACAACCTAGCTTTTTAAGTTTTATTTTGTATTTAGCTGAAAAGAAAAACAAAACAAACGATCGCAAATAACGGTAACATATTTTGGTGGAAGATATTTTAATGGAGCATCACCCATCAGATGTTGCTAATACAAGACCACGAATATCATTTTATAATATTTTTTGTTTAAATTTAAATTTTTTTATTTTGTTATTTTTTACCTTCATATTGAAAGTCAACATCAATACTATTTGAACCAGACGTTAATTGAGGAAATAATTGAGAAATTTTTCCACGTAATATTGATAAAACGAGAGAGTCTCATTTCAGGTACTTTGTATATTTTTCATTATAGGCTCCTTGAAACGAAAATGAACAATAGTTAAGTTTTCAAACACATTTTTTCACTATTTTTTCAATTGGCGCGCTATGATAAAAAAATACAGTACTTTGTTTTCTCTTAAGCAATGAACATTTTTTTAATATGAATTTAATAGTGCTTTAAAACTTGTTCTATAATTTGCTCAATAGTGAACATCTTATTCATGTTTATTACGAGAGTCTCATTGCAGATAGTTTTTTTACTTTTTTTTATTGTTGTGACCATTAAAGAAAATTAAAATAACCATTTTTTTTTAGATTAAAGTCATACATATATTAGATATGTTCCGAAAGATTGATATTTATATTCAAATATATTTTTGACAAGATTAGTGTTGATAGAACGCTAGCAGGGGAAAATTGTTTCCTTTTCCCCTGCTCTTAAAAACTTCCAAGAGAAGCACAATGATAGTATTAATATGGTTCTACTGGAAAAAAGTGAAGAAATCAGATTATCAACATAATTTTAACCAATGCAGATCTATTATTCAAAAGCCTTTTGCGTAGCAGTTGCTTTCAGTCACAAAATATCATATGCTTATAGAGATATGTAATGCCTTTGTCTAAGTTAGGAAAAATTATTCGAGTGTCTATCAATCATCAAGACTATCAAGCCATATCTGAAATTTCAGTATAGACTATGTCATTTTACTATAAAGTTTTTAATCGACAACAATAAACCTTATTGTTATAGAAATATACTTAATCTATCTTCAGTGGTCATGTTTTCAGAATAAAAGATTTACTAAGAGCAAAGATAATGATGCTATCTTGAAATTAACCACTTAGAAATCATTCTTACTAAGAAGAAAAGCTTTTCAAGATGATAGCCACCGTGGAACAATTCAATCTTTTATAGAAGGAAATCGGAGCAGAAAAAATATTTTTGAACATTATAGGTGAATATTGGTTTTGTGCGAAGGCAACAACACGTCACAAACGATATTGTATAAAGATTATAGTAGATATCTCAAATAACAGTTGTGCCGTTCTGTACGAGTATATGTAATGTGATAATAGATTTCAAATGTCGAAGTATATGCATAAAATTTAAAAAAATACATTAGTTCGTGGCTCTTTTAAAACGATGTTTGGAAATAAGGAAAAGAATAAAAATTAATGTGTAATATAAAGTTTAGTTAAACTAACAAATAAAATGAAAGGAGGGGCAGTTGTAAGATCATAAAATGGCCCCCAGAACTTTTTTCGCCAGATCTCTTATTATCTTATATCAACTGAAAGATCTCATTAATATAAGCATTTTTGGTGACGGAACTTTTTATTTTTTCACAGATAAATAAAAAGTTTGAGAAGCGTCAATATTCGATATTTTTGAGCATTAATCGATTTTATGACCAATATGATATGCTATACCTATTCATATAAAGAGAAAGAGAAAACAAGACTTTTTTTCCTTCAAACAGTAGGTGACATGGTCCTCCAACACTGTTATAAATATCAAGTTTTTTGCTTTAGTCGTTTCGATTTTATAGCCCAAATACGACCTCGAAAATCTCAAAAAACTATCTTTTAAGTAACAGACCGTTTAGTGTAGATCTTCGATCTCTGTAACAACAAAATCAAACAACACCATTTTTTTTACTACTAAGAGCTCTTTACATTAGCTACAAAATCCACCTATTATGGATCAAAAACGTTGGGGAAATATATCTCAAAACAGATCACACTATTATCATAATATCAATTTTGATCATTTGATAGTAATATACTATTCATTCGTTTAATGTTTTGTCATCAAATCTAACTCGATAATATAACCCTTTAAAAGATACCTTTTTCAGAACAAAAGAATAAGAATGGCATTTAATTTGTATTATCCTTTGTGCCAAAAACGTGCATATGTGAAATGTGTAATGTATATTTAAAGAAGTACTGCATCGTTTTTCTTATCAACGAGTGGAAGAATCTAAGTGTATGGCGTGATATTTTTGGTAGAGTATATAATATTTTTATATATTGTAAAAAATATATTCGATTATATACTATTCTATGCTAATAATACTTCATATCGCTTTAATAGGCGGAATGGTACATATAAAATGTGTTCGTTGCGAGCCTAAAATCGATGCTAGGCATGAACGACGAAAAGTGAATATATCGATGCAATTGTTTGTGGCTGTTCAGAAAATGAAAAAGGTGGAAACTGTATCGTTTCTTTGCACTAGTGAATGTCAAAATGAATATTATAAATGAAGGAGTTTAACATAATCATTGCAGTATATTTTCAACGAAGACTCATCCGAAAATGAAAAAGTAATATAATTGACATATAACGAATGAGAGAACTTTTGAATTGTGATAGATGCAAGTTGATGATATTACTGTTGAAGAAAATATTGATAAATCCTTCGACAGTTGGAAGAGAAATCCGAATATCATTATTCATTCCTCGAACGATTATTGATCGTAAGTAATGGGCTTTCTTAAGAAATAAATATCATCATAGTTTCCAGAGGCAATGTATTGTTTGTGGATTGAAGAACGAACAATCAATGAAAGTAATTTCTAGTTCTCTGTCGGATCTGATCTTTATGAAACGGGATATTTTGTACCAGATCAAGCACGCTGCTGCTTCGAACACATGATTGAGCGTACAGGTTTAACATATAAAGCTTTCCAAAGTATCAATAGTAGACGAAAAGTTTTATGTTTACAACTACACGATCATTTAACTATGATTATGTAGGTTATACATCCGATATAATGGTACTATCAAGTGATGATATTCAAAACTGGTTTGAAAAGTTTCGATCAGTATTCAATATGTCAAAGTGTTTCGATTTTGCCGATCCGTACTGCTTAACTGACACGGATTATTATAATATAACTGGTATAAAGAAAGGTAGTTACTTCAATGTTATGTCTGAAACTTATTGAATATTTCATTATGCGTAGGTCAATTTGATTTTCTACTTACTTCTTATCTTTTGTCAATGTGCGACAGTTCTCTTCGATCCAAGCGTGTGGCTCTTGCTCTTTTCCTCTGCAAACTTCGTTTGAGATTGAGTAACAATATACTATCTTCTTTGTTTCATCTTCCTGATAAAGATGCAGTGTCGCATACATTTCATGGAGTTCGAAAAGAATTACTCAAGCAGTTCGTCCCGAGACACATCGGTTTTGGTCACATCAGTCGTAACGAGATAATAAATCAGCATACGACAGAAATTGCGAAAAAACTTGTTGGTAGTCAATCTAATCAGGTGTGTTGCGTTGCCGATGGTATGTTTTTTCTTCTCATTGCATATTTCAATGGCTGAATTCAGAATTCAGGCTTTGACGAAATCCAATTGACATTTGTATCATCTAATTTCAGTCAATGATTAAAATAAGTTTGATATAGTTTATTTATTTAATAGCATGTATCTCAGCCAAAGAAACCCGCTAAAGCAGGAAAAATCATGTTTAACAGAATCTTCATATCAAAGATCCGTAATCTTTTCTTATAGGCACGATTTTCGAGTGTTTTAGCAGAGAATCCCGCTTAATTTAAGAAGAATATAACAATTTGATTAGTTACTGAAATTCTGAGCAGTCATCCTATTCCGTAATGTTGAACATTTCAGAATCAGTTCCGCACCCGGAACCAGTTCCATCCAATTCCGGAAACTCGATCGTCATTGCCAATAACAGACCTACTAGGCACTGACCGAGTTCCGTCAATTCCCGAAATTCTCGGAACTTAGTCCAGACGGAATTACCTCGAATTTCCAGCAATTCCGGAACCAGACGGAATTCAAGCCCATTCCCAGCAATTCCGGAATTGCGCAATAAGACGGAATTCCGTCCAATTTCGTACGATTCCCGCTCGACTCAATTCCTGGAATTCCGTACCGGAATTACTTTTGCGAGAAAATAATCTTCAGTCACAACACTATGCGTGAGGGTGAGGGCGGGAAGTAATTTCGGAATTGGAAGCAATTCTAGGAATTCCGGAATCGGACAGAATTCCCGGGAATTCTGTCCGATTCCGGAATTGCTGGGAATTCAGGGTAATTCCATCTGAACTTAGTTTCAAGGGCGGAACTGATTCTGGAATGTTCAACATCGCGAAATAGGATGTATTCTCCTTATAGGACATCCTTTTCATTATCATCCGTGACCTGTATTCGATACCAAGACTCTTGGAAGTAGAAGAATGAGCACTCTGTCCACTAGACCACCCGGTCAGTTTAAGCTAGATTTGGTGAATGATGTCCACAGTAGTGCATTGGTTAGACCGACTTGAAGGATATTTCCGTTTCGATGTCGGGATTAGTTGTCAGCCGTTTTTACTGAAAGAGATGTATGAATGAATGTATAATAAGTTACACTTCTAGGTCAGCAGGCGCGAATAGCAGAGGAAGAAAAGGGTAAAGAACGTTCTTGGCTAAGGAACGGACTTCTCAGTCTTGAAGTTCTATGAAACAAGTAGAATGGTTGTTCATGTTTTTATTTCTGAAGAAGAAGTTCACATAAATATATGTTTACATATATACATATATCAGTTTGATGTATAAAGATAGTTATTTTCTTCATCATCCGATGACGGCTCAAAATCAGAAATATCGTCTGCGTACTGGATCATTTTGATATTAGTCAAGGATGATTATCGATTTGTAGTAGTTTGATAGCGTTCATAACTTAGAAACCAAATAGCTACAGCAATATGAGAGCAGCAACCCACTTTTCGAGATCCTGCTGCGCAAGTACAATACCATGCGATGACTTGTGTTGAATCGTATTGAATGTACG